CTCTCTCTGCCCCTCCCCCGTTCATGCTCTGTCTCTCTCTGTCCCAAAAATAAATAAACGTTGAATAGTTGCCCAACTAACGTGGCCTGTTCTCCACACCAGCTCCAGGCCAACTTCCACTGCTGTCCGACTCCACTGCTGTCTCCCCAGGGTTTCGAACCCAAAGGCGAACTCTTCCTCTTATGTGACTTCCTAGTGTTTGCGTTTCCTCACCTGTCAGTGGTTAATCGCGCCAACCACGTGGACTTTTGTGGCCCTGGCCTATTTCCCGCTACCTGAAAGGGCTTAAACTGTGTCTGGCATAGAGTAGGCGCTCAGCGAGTGTTAGCTACATTATTGCCATCATCGAGGAGCGTAGAATGCTCTCTCCCTTGACCTCCTCCGGTGCCAAGAGCCCCGAACCATGTGTGGCTAAAAGTAGGAAGTCAGTAACTATCTGTCAGAGCGAATGAAAGGAACAAGCTGGCTACTGGCTCCCCTTGTTTACGTGTTTGTAAAAAGTGCTTGTAAACAGTAGGGCTCGATGTAGCAAGAGTGGAGACCCTGAGGAAATCCTGGGACCTACTGACATTCCCCTCCCACTGCATTTCCTTCCTCACCCCACACCAGTGGTTCTCAAACTTCAGCGGGTGTCAGAATCACCTGAAACTTAGTTAAAAAACAAAAACAAAACCAAAAAACAGAGTCCCCAGCTGTCTCTACTGCAGACCTCCCGCAGAGCTAATTGGGGATTGAGAGACCCATATTCATTGACTCAGGAGGCTCCTGGGCCCTATTCCAGAGAAGCTGTGCAGCAGAATTCCGGCTGCTTTGAGAGCCACTCTCTGGCATCATGGGATCTGCTTCTGAGGGGAGTGTGCCTGCCTGTTGGCCTCTGACCCCAGCCTCCAGTAGCCTGCCTTCACCTCGCCTGCCTCCTCAGAGTCCCCGCACGCTTGACTCTCTGAAACAGAACATTCCCTGGCTGGGCTCAACAGCGGAATATATTGTCTGCGATACAGGAACCCTCTTTTCTTCCAGGTGAATGCCAGCCGCTCCAAGAGCATTTGTTTAAGAAGCCGTCGTTCCCCGCTAGTTTGGAATTCTCCCTTCCTCACTTATAACCGTGCTTTCGATCCCTCTGTTTCTGCTGACCTTGTCTTGGGCCAGCGGTTTTCACGACCGTGAATGCTAGACCACGTTTTGTTTCCTAGCGAGGCAAGCCGCCCCTCACCTTTTGGGGGGAATACACCAGTTCCCTTACAGATGAGGCGACGGACGTGTTCTGTCGAGGCACGACAGACCTCCGCTGTTGGCTCCCGGAACACCGGAAGGTCTATGCTTCTCTGTCGCTCCAGGCTTAAGTGAGAAGCCCAGCCCCCAGATCTACCGAGAGCTCAAAAGAGCCCTGGATATGACAAAAGCCCTCCCCGGCGAATTCTCCGTCTGCTTCACAGAACTCCAGCAGAAGTTTTTTCACAACCGTCCCAGAAAACTGACAGATTTGATCCTCTTGGTAAAGTACTGGTACCAACAGGTAACTTTCCAATTACGTCATCTGCTGCCGGCATCCGTTTCCTTTCAAGCGAGAGCACTCACGTCCAGCGAAGTAGGACCCCCAGGTATACAGCCCACTGCGTCTTTATGTCCCTGTAAGCAGCATCCAGATCGACATAGGACGCGTTCCCTGCATCCCAGCAGCCGCTTGAAGCCCTCTCCTGGTGAATGCCCCCCCCCCACGGCCACCGTCCTGACGTCCGTCCCCACAAATCAGTCCAGCTCTTTTTTGAGCTTGATATCAATGGAATGGCACCACAGGCACTCTGTGTCTGCCACTTTGGGGTCGACGTGATGCCCGAGAGGTTCGTCTCCGCAGTTGCCTATACTCGCGCTCGCTCACTGTCTCGTGGGATTCTGTTCTCTTGGCCCACCGCGCTTGTATCCGCCCTGCTAGTGGGCGTTTGGGCCGCGTCCACATCGGGGCTATTACGAATCAGGTTGCCACGGATGGTCCCTTGCACATCTTTTCGTGAGTTTCAGCACTCATTTCTGTTGAATAAATACACAGGGTATAAGCTATATGGATACGTATGTGTAGATAGAGACACGTACACACGACGTATTTGTAGATGTACGTGTGTATATAATAAACACATACGTAGGCTATATTATATATTATTACATAGTATATAAAACACATAGCACTACATAAGTATATCATATGCAATACGTAACGTTATATAATATTAAATACATATGTAATAATGTATACATTTCACTTTAGTAAGTATGGCCAATGTGAGTTTTCCCAAATGGCTGTACCTAATGACACCCCCATCGGCAACGTATGACAGCTTCAGGTGTCCCTTATCCTTGCCAGGATGTGACACTGTCACTCCACCACATTTTAGGCATGGTGTCATGTTCATCACCGCGGGGGGGGGGGGGATGGCGACTTCCCATAGACGTCTGACTCCTTGATTTCAGGCCCCCAGCATGGGGGGCCTGGATCCCCAGATGAGCCACTGCCCCCTCTCTTCTCCCACAGTGCCAGGCAAAGCTGAAAGAGTCACCCCCGCTGCCCATGTATGCTCTGGAGTTGCTGACAGTCTACGCCTGGGAACAGGGGTGCGGAGCAGAAAACTTTGACATCGTGGAAGGCCTCAGAACCGTCCTGGGGCTAATCAAACAGCAGGAGCAGCTGTGTGTCTACTGGATGGTCAACTACAACTTTGAGAATGAGACGGTCCGGAACATTCTGCTGAGCCAGCTCCGGTCATCAAGGTACCAAACGTGCCTCCACCCCCTCTCTCTACCCGTTGCTCTGCACGTCAGGCTGTGCCCTTTAGAGTGAGGGCTCAGCCCCATTCTTCCCAGCCAAAGATGCACCAGAAGAATGCCAGCAGCAGTGGGTAGGGAGGCAAAGCGGGGTCTGTCCGAAAGGGGGAGCCTGACCAATGTTTTTTCGCATTCCAAACCATCGTCTTATTTTGTCTTGTCCCCAAAACAAACACTCAAGAGGGGGTTCCCATATAGAAAGAAGGGACCAACCACTTTATTATGTTATTTTTTAAAGTTTATTTATTGAGAGACGGTGTGTGTGTGGGCATGAGCAGGGGAGGGGCAGAGAGAGGGAGAGAGAATCCCAAGCAGGCTCCCTCGCTGCCGGCACAGAGCCCTACACGGGGCTCGATCTCACGAACCGTGAGATCGATCGTGACCTGAGCTGAAGTTGAGAGTCGGACGCTTAACGGACTGAGCCGCCCAGGTGCCCCCATTTTACTATGTTATTCGTAGAACATCTCTGCCAAGCAGAGAAGGCAGGAGCTGAGGGTCGAAACTCTCAGACGAAGCACCTCAGGAAATGAGAGGAAGCTTGAATACTTGAGTCCAGGTTCCCGGACGCCCCGTCCAGGCCTCGTTCCCCAACACGGGTTTCTTCTTCCGCGTGCAGCCCAACTGATTTTTTTTTTCATCTAACGGAATTCCTAGGCCGGTCATCTTGGACCCAGCCGACCCGACCAACAACGTGGGCAAAGATAAGGCGTGCTGGCAAATGCTGCAGCAGGAAGCTCACATCTGGTTGTCATGTCTCAGCCCGAACGGGCCACCTGGGCCGTCGTGGGATGTTCTGGTGAGGGGGCTTCGCAAAGGCAGCTCGCGTCGTGCTGCAGGGAGGGCGGCCCGACACCCAGACTGGAGTCGGACCCCGAGAGCACCACATGTGGATGTCCTCGTGCTGCTGTGACAAAGGGGCTTACAGTGGCAGAAATTCATTCTCTCACAGATCTGGAGACTAGAAGTCCAAGGTCAAGGTGGAGGCAGGGCTGTGCTCCCTCCGAAGGCTCCAGAGGAGGGTCCTTCCTTGCCTCTTCCAGCTCCTGGTGGCTGCTGGTGCTCCTGGGCCTGTGGCCCTATGCCTCCCGTCCCCACCTTCATTTTCACACGGCCTCCTCTGCTGTGTCTTCACAGCCTGTCTCTGCGTCTCCCTCCTTTTCTTCTTTTTTCTTTGATGCTTATTCACTTTTGAGAGAGAGAGAGACAGAGCGCGAGCCAGGGAGGGGCAGAGAGAGACAGAGACACAGAATCCAAAGCAGGCTCCGGGCTCCGAGCGGTCAGCACAGAGCCCGACGCGGGGCTCGAACTCACGAACCCGAGCCGAAGTCAGATGCTTAACCAACTGAGCCCCCCGGGGCCCCCCTGCAGGTTAGAGAGCTCAATCGATGGCTGCAGGTGAGAGAGCAGGTGGTTAGGTCCTTTAGGACGTAACGGAGCGGAGCCCTGGGCAGATATACGGCAGCCGCCCCTGCAGAAACTGGAGAGCTGGTCAAGCGGCCGACTGTGGGGCAGACACAATGGCTTCCCCTCCCATCCCCCAAAGGGAAGCACATCTACCAACACGAGCTCGTCGGAGAAGGACAGTCCAACGAGAACGTTGTCAGTCTAGGCCACGGAATCCACTCGGTTTTCTGGGGGTCACGGGGTGCCCATGAGGCCGGATAGAGGCCAACCAAATTCCACGTTTCACAGACGCGGGACTGATTGACATCCAAAGTCCGGTGGCCGTGAATCTACCACTCCGTTTGGCACAGGAAGTTGAGAGCCAACTGAGCAAGGAAGTGGGATATAAGTGAGATTCCCAAATTCCAGGGCCCCTGGACAGGAAGGGGACGGGGACGGGGAGCTCCCTGCGGGGATCCAGAAGGGATGTCGTACGGCCACTCCTTGTCCCGACGTTCACCGGACTCTGGTCTTTGCTCTCCGACCTCGATTTTCCCGGCTTCCTAAAACAGCTTTTAAAAAACTATCCCCCTCTCCTGGCTTTTATTCTGAAAACTTTCAAACGTATAGAAAGTTGCAGAAATGGTTCAGGGAACCCCTGTCTATGTAGACGCCCAAATGTTTAACTTTTTACCCCTTTAGCTATGTCCCAGTGGTCCCCATCATCGGTGTCGTATTTGTTGTTTCCACCGAGCCCTCTGAGTTCGCTGCCAGAGAAGGACGTGCTCTTAGCTCACCACACGCAGCTCCCGGGGGCTGGGGGCTGGCTGCCACCCCAAACTCTCCAGAACGTTCTTGGGGTGTGTGGATGCAAGAGCTGAGCGTTCTTCCCCCTTCCCAGCCAGCGCCACTGTATGCGACACCGGGCCACCTTCTGGATAAGTTCATCAAGGACTTTCTCCAGCCCGACAGAAATTTCCTGTGCCAGATTGCGACAGCTGTTGACATCATCTGTAGATTCCTTCAAAAAAATTGCTTTCCACATTCAGCTACAAGAGTTCAGAAAACTGTCAAGGTGAGTACTGGCCTCTTTCCCACGGGGTCTGACCCGCAGGGAGCGAAGCGGTTCCCGGAGCCCGGCAGGCCCGCCCTGCCAGCTGCTGGAGGGCAAGGGACGCCAGAGGCGAGCCGGGGAGGTGGGCACCTAGGACCCTGGCTGTCAGTAGGGGGCGCCCGTGCGCTGCGTACGTCACTAACAACACGCTGCCGTTGGCTTCCTGGGCCGCCCCTGCTCTTGGGTACCTGCCCCTCTCCTGCCCCTGCCTCCCCATCACCTTCTCCGTGGGTCTCCTCTTCTGTCACGTTCTCACCTTCCCAGCACAGGGGCTACAATTCAAACCCCGGGCAGGTCCCAAACTCCATGTACGCTGAACCAAAGAGTGACCTCTTTCTTGCCTTGACCACCGGAGTCTGATTCATCCTGTCAACTGAGCTAGAGATTCAGCAGACTGGGTCGTTCTTGTCCATGGCTCGAAGGCCACGGGCTAACACGCTTCCCTCCGTCTGTGCGTCAGCGACCAGATAACCAACCGAGCCACCCAGGCGCCCCCTCCGTCCCACCCGCAGGGAGCGGGGAAGTGCCCATAGGCTGCCAGACAGACCTGGGTGCTTGCTGCCCCGAGACAGGTCCAATATCCCATAAGCCAAATGCGGAGTCAGATGTCTCACAGAGGCTCATCGGGGTGAAAACAGGCCGAGTTCATGGGCAACGTTAGAATTGTCAAGGCCTGTTCTTCCCTTCCTTCCCGAGATCCCCATTAACACAATGGTAGAAAGTAAGAAAAGGTACGATGGCACATTGAAGGAGAAAATAGGAGGGCGCCTGGGTGGCTCGGTCAGTTAAGCGTCTGACTTCAGCTCAGGTCATGATCTCGTGGTTTGTGAGTTCGAGCCCCGTGTCGGGCTCTGGGCTGACGGCTCAGAGCCTGCAGCCTGCTTCAGATTCTGTGTCTACCCCTCTCTCTGCCCCTCCCCTGCATGCACTCTGTCTCCCTGTCTCTCAAAAATAAACTTTAAAAAAGAAGAAGAGAGAACCACGGGCACACAGGAAGGTGCTTTCTTTCTTCCTGAAGTTGGTTGCGAGCTGGAAAGTGTTGTCTGCTGGGTGACAGGGAGAGGTGAGGAGGGGGCTGTGACCCGGGAGAGGCCGGCCAAGGCCAACACCTGCAGACCAGTTGCGTGAATGAAGCAGGCTCGAGCATCTGATACAGGAAACCAAACACCCTCCCCTCACCCCTAACCCGCTGCCGAGCATTTACTAATCGTGGGTAAAACAAATGTTTTCCCTGCAAATGTCGGGTGAACTTTCTGGGGGCAACCAGGGCAGCAAGTGTGGAGGTTGGTGCCCTGAGCAGACCCCACCACACGTGCACTGGGATGGTTCTCCGTGAGGCAGCTGGCTTCTCTCCAACTCGCCCTCAAAGACGCCGATAAGCTAAAGAGCTGTGCCTACAGGCTAAGCCCCTCCAAATAGGCTGAGCCAGCATACTGCCTAGGCTGCGTCGTACAGGGGTGGCCAAACCAGGGCCAGGGAGCTAAAAAATGAACTGACAGTTTTACAGAGTTGTTAGAGTAGAAAGGGAAGGAGGAAGAGGAGGAGGGGGAGGGAAGGAGGGAGGAGGAGGAAGGGAGAGGAGGGAGGGGGGAAGGAGGAGGAGGAGGGAGGAGGAGGGAGGGGAGGAGGAGGAGGGAGGAGGAGGGAGGGAGAGGAGGGAGGGGGAAGGAGGAGGAAGAAAAAGAGGAGGAAGGAGGAGGAGGAAGGAGGGAGGAAGAGGAGGAGGGAGGGGAGGAGGAGGAGGGAGGAGGAGGGAGGGGAGGAGGAAGAGGAGGAAGAGGGAGGAGGAGGGAGGGAGAGGAGGGAGGAGGAAGTGGAGAAGCCTGTGTGGCAGGGACATACATACCCCACACTTAACTATCTGACCCCGTACAGAAAGTTTGCAGACCCTTGTACCTAAATCATGAATATTCATCCCGGGATCCCCAGATCCCCAGAGGAAACACGAATGAGAGAACAAACGAGAACTTTTAGCATACTGATTGCATCCAGTTTGATTTCTCTCAGGTCACAGGAATCCAGACAAAGCTAAGTGCCCTTTAGGAGGCATCTCTAGAAAGTTGACTTGAGCAGCAGGTAATTTGCAACTAGCCCATCCGTTGTTTGTGTGCAAATAAGTATATCGAAGGGCATGAGAAAACCTTTGGAGCCAAACTATCCCAGGAAAAGGTGAACATCCTGCTTTGAACTCAGCCCTGACTTGACTGGACCCTAACCTGGAACTACCCCCTTGGCAACCTCACTGGCACCGGCCCACGGGGGCAAGGGGCTCAGGGTCTAGAAAATGCTCTAACTCAGCTTGCCTTTCTTCGCTAGGGAGGGTCGACCGGCAAAGGCACGGCTCTGAAGACGGGCTCCGATGCCGACCTCGTGGTGTTCCCAGACTCGCTTAAGAGCTACACCTCCCAAAAAAGTGAGAGGTGCAGTATCATCAAGGAAATCCGTAAACAGCTAGAAGCCTGTCAGCAGGAGAAAAAGCTCGAAGTGAAGTTTGAGATTTCAAAATGGAAGGCTCCCAGGGTGCTGAGCTTCTCTCTAAAATCCAGAGTGCTCAACGAAAGGGTTGACTTTGATGTGCTGCCTGCATTTAATGCGCTAGGTGAGACCACCCAGACCTCAGCTTCTGGAGTTGGAAAGATGGGGTCTGGGGTGATGGGGCCAGGCGGGTGGAAGGAAAGCCAGGTGACTTAGTGATGATGACTCATGGGTCTAGTGCCCCCAGCAGGCAGCAGGAGTCATAGCAACAACACCTTACCCCTGTGGACATTTTTTTTTTCTTTTCTTTTTAAAAAAATTTTTTAATGTTTGTTTTGAGAGAGGAAGAGAGAGAGCGCAGGCTCCAGGCTCTGAGCTGTCAGCACAGAGCCCGACGCGGGGCCCGAACCCACAAACTGTGAGATTGTGACCTGAGCCGAAGTTGGACGCTTAACTGACTGAGCCACTCAAGCACCCCCCTCCCCACCATGGACATTTTCATTCTCCTTGGTCACTTAAGTATCCCGAGGATGTCCAGCACCCACATCTTATATGGGTCCTGCGGTATGACTCATAATACCCATCAAAGAATGGGGTGCACAGGAGTTCTGTACACATTTATAGATAAAACGCTTCAGGTATTAGTGAAGGAAATTAACAAACAGACTGGGGGAAGAATTCTGAAGCAAAGGCAAGAAATCTGAGTGCCGTCAATCTTAGGGAAAAAATCTACTTTGGAAATTCAATTCATGAATGACAGATACATCATTTTGTATTAACAGAAACCAAGGTGAGGCGCCTGGGTGGCTCAGTCGGTTGAACGTCCAACTTCGGCTCAGGTCACGATCGCACAGTTCGCGAGTTTGAGCTCCACATCGGGCTCGCTGTTGTCAGCATAGAGCCTGCTTTGGATCCTCTGTCCCCCTCTCTCTGCCCCTCTCCAGCTTGCGTATGCTCTCTCTCTCAAAAATAAATAAATCTCAAAAAAAATGTTTTAAGAAAAAAAAAGAAAGCAGGCTATTTCAGACATTCTTCAAATCAGAATCAAGAAGACTCTGGTACCTTCCCTCCGAATGGTTCTTAGTGTCTCTAGAGAGGAAAGAACAATATAGATTAGGGTTTGGCTAATTTTTTTTTTTTTTTTTTTTTTTTTTTTTTTTTTAGTAAAAGCAAGGTGGCAAGTATTTTCAGCTTTGAGGACCGTACAGTATCTGTCACAATTACTCAACTCTGCCACTGTACCCTGAGAGCAGCCAGGGACAATACATGGCAGTATTGTCAGCCATGGGCAGTGCATGGCAGCGTTCCAATAAAACTTTATTTGCAAAAACAAGAAGTGGGCCAGATTTGGCCTACAGGCCATAGTTAGCAAACTGCCCATCGGCTCAGTCTAGAAGATCTTTCTGGGTGATGAGAATGTTATATACCTACTGAGAGCTTGAAATGTGGCCAGTAGGACTGAGGAACCAAATTTTTAGTTTTGTTTCCCCTTAATTAATTTGGATGCATATAACCACAATGGACAGTGCAATTCTAGATAATACTTTAGTAATAGCACCTGCATTCATATAGACCGTATAATTTTTAAATTTTTTTTCAACGTTTTTTATTTATTTTGGGGACAGAGAGAGACAGAGCATGAACGGGGGAGGGGCAGAGAGAGAGGGAGACACAGAATCGGAAACAGGCTCCAGGCTCCGAGCCATCAGCCCAGAGCCTGATGCGGGGCTCGAACTCCCGGACCGCGAGATCGTGACCTGGCTGAAGTCGGACGCTTAACCGACTGCGCCACCCAGGCGCCCCTAGACCGTATAATTTTTAAAAATATCTCATTACTCTGGAGATGCTCCCAGTATCTTCGACATCAGTCATTCAAATATACTAATAGAGTTCCAAGTCATTTCCCAGGATTCATTGTATTTGTGAAAAATGTTTGAAAATGGTTACTTTTTAAAATTTAAATTCAAGTTAGTTAACATACAGTATAGTCGTGTCTTCAGGAATAGAACCCACTGATTCATCTCTTACGAAGGACACCCGGTGCTCATCCCAAAAAGTGTCCTCCTTAATGCCCATCACCCATTTAACCCACTCCCCCACTCTACCCCCCTCCAGCAACCCTCAGTTTGTTCTCTGTATTTAAGAGTCTCTTATGGTTTGCCTCCCTCTCTGTCTTTATCTTATTTTTCCTTCCCTTCCCCTATGTTCTTCTGTTAAGTTTCTCACATTCCACATAAGAGTGAAATCATAGGATATCTGTCTTTCTTTGACTTATTTCACTCAGCATAATACCCTCCAGTTCCATCCGTGTTGTGGCAAATGGCAAGATTTCATTCTTGTTCATGGCCAAGTAGAACATATATATCCTATCTTCTTTATCCATTCATCAGTCGATGGGCATTTGGGGTCTTTCCATCCTTTGGCTATTGTCGATAGGACTTCGATAAACATGGGGGTGCACGCGTCCCTTCGAAACAGCACACCTGTATCCCTTGGATAAATTCCTACTCGTGCAATTGCTGGGTCGTAGGGGAGTTCTCTTTTTAACTTTTTGAGGAACCTCCCCACTGTTTTCCAGAGCGGCTGCACCCGTTTGCACTCCCACCCGCAGTGCATAAGCGTTCCCCCTTTCTCCGCATCCTCGCCAACATCTGTCATTTCCTGAGTTAATTTTAGCCATCGCACAGGTGTGAGGTGGTATCTCATTGTGGTTTTGATTTGTGTTTCCCTGATGACGAGTGATGTTGTGCATCCACATGGGAAGGCACAATCTAAATATCTCCCCCGTGCTAGGTCAGCTGAACTCCGGCTCTACACCCAGCCCCAAGGTCTACGCGGAGCTCATTGACCTGTATAAATCCTCAGACGCCGAGGGGGGAGAATTTTCCACCTGTTTCACGGAGCTGCAGTGCAACTTCGTGGCCTTCCGACCCATCAAGCTGAAGGATTTAATTCGTCTGGTGAAGCATTGGTACAAACAGGTACAACTGCTCGTATTCCAGCGATCCGGTTATCGTTTTCATCATGCTCTGTGACCTTCACATCAGTACGTAACCAGTGCTCCGTGTGCCCACGCTCTCCCACGCTGGGGGGCTGAGCCACTTTCGGGAATCTGTCCACTGATCCTGTCTCTGTGCGTCTCGTCACCAACCCCCATTAAGTGGAGCGAGGTAGGGAGCACCCCCTCTCATCAACACTGCCGTGGGTGGTTTATTTTACCTTTGCTTTGACACCCAGAGAACTCCGCAGGAACCCAGGTTACTCTGCGTACAAAGGGCGGATGAAGTTGGGATTTGCGTGCCTACAGGTCAGCGGCACGGCTGACCTTCTGCTCCGCGCCCATAAGAGGCACAGATGCCATCCTTGGAAGACAGGCGGGACCAGGGGCTGCATTTTCTCTAACCGTTAGCCTGCCTTCGCTTCCGTCACCTGTCTCGCACACAAGGGAGTGTCCCAGAATTTCCATGACAGCAGACCTCCGGCACAGTGCCGGCTCTTTCCTGAGACGCCTCCTGCCTGCGTCCAGCTCCCTGAAGCCTGAGGCGGACACTGGGCCCCGTGGTTTCCATCCCAGAAGCTCAGAGAAATGGCCACACCCCCAGCCCCGGGGTGCTCAGAGGGCTTGAGGCTGCGCTGTGACCTTGAGCAAGTCCCTTCCCCTCCCTAACCTGCTTGTCTTCATCAGAAACGTCCATCTGTGCCTGCTTGGTGGGGTGGCCAGAGGGTTAGGGATGACCCGTAGAATGTCCGGCCCCACAGCCAGCACACGGCAGGGGTTTTCTCAACGGTAGCTGTATTACAACTCCAGGGAGTGCTAGATGGTCGGAGCACAAGGCGGAAACCTGCATGTGCTGCTGAGGGAGCCCCTGCAAAGCTACCCTGCTCAGACCTCCCCCAGACCATCCCATGGGCCCTGCGGCTCCTGGCCCAGTTGCCCTGCTGGGGCCCCAGCGGTCATCAGCGTGCGGTCTCCGGCAGGCTGGCTGAGCTCACCGCACCTCTCTGCTCTCGCCGGTATCGTCTGACGTCCCCCTCTTCCCTCAGTGTGAAAGGAAACTGAAGCAAAAGGGGTCTCTGCCCCCGAAGTACGCCTTGGAGCTGCTCACCATCTACGCCTGGGAGCAGGGGAGCGGGGCAGAGAATTTCGACACCGCCGAGGGATTCCGGACGGTCCTGGAGTTGGTCACAAAATACCAGCAGCTCTGTGTCTTCTGGACGGTCAATTACAACTTTGAGGATGAGACCGTGAGGAACTTCCTACTGACCCAGATCCAGAGAACCAGGTGCTCCAAACCCTGCCCCTTCCTTTTTTTTTTTTTTAAATCTTTATTTTTGAGAGAAAGAGAGAGAGACAAAGCATGAGCAGGGGAGGGGAAGAGAGAGAGGGAGGCACAGAATCCGAAGCAGGCTCCGGGCTCTGTGCTGTCAGCACAGAACCTGACGCGGGGCTCGAACTCACAAACCCTGAGATCATGACCTGAGCCGAAGTCGGTGGCTCAACTAAGCCACCCAGGCGCCCTCTGCCCCTTCCTTTTCTTAACCTGACTCCCTCCAATGCTATTTCAGCGACCCGGATTCTCCTCCCTGGGGTCATGATTCGTGATTCCCCATGTTTGAAGCAGAAGAGGGAGTTTGGTGGGGGTGGAAAGGTACCGGCCAACAGTACTTGCCATAGTCTCTGGGGAGAAACTCCTCGGGCCTTGGGGATGGGAGAAAATGTCATCCAGGAGGAACAGAGAAGGAAGGACCAAGGTACCAGGAGCCTGGGATGCGTCCATCTTTCCGGGCCGAAGGGAAAGTGTGGATTCGTTAGCAGATCTTAGAGGTGTGGAAGTAGAAATGTGTCCCTGAGAAATAATGCTGTCATTCCTTCATGGTCGATTCATCCTACCAGAGGGAGTTTTATTACATCAGATTCTACCTCCCCTTTCAGATCTGTACCCCACAAGACCGCTATCCTTCAAGAATAGCGGGGAACCTTAGTGTATCCATTCAGTGCCCCCAGCAGAGCACAAAAACAGAGGACGCAAAAAGAAAGAAAAGAAAAAAAAGCTTTGAGAAGGAATAGAGGGGAAGAAGGAGAGAGCAAGATACCATGGGCTGCCTCCTGTGGGTGTGGCCCACATGACATTACAATTGATTCAATTCCGCGTCATTTTTCAACTGCCCTAACGTGAAGGAAATGTGTATATTATGCCATCCTGTCTATACTGAGTGACACCTTTCAAAACACTTCCGACAAATGTAATTGAATTCTAGAAAAGTGCTTTGAGCTATATCAGAATATTTGAGTTACTGGCGTCTAAAACATAGGACACATTATTTTACGGCTAAGAGTAGAATGGGGCCCCCGTTCTGAGGCCACTGGTTTAAAAACATTTTTTAAATATTTATTTAGTTTTGAGAGAGAGAGAGAGAGAGAGAAAGAGGGCAAGCAGGAGAGGGGAAGTGAGAGAGGGAGACCCAGAATCCCAAGCAGGCTGCAGGCTCTGAGCTGTCGACACAGAGCCTGACGCGGGGCTTGAACTCATGAACCGTGAGATAACGTCCTGAGCCAAAGTCAGACGCTTGGGCCACTGAGCCACCCAGGCGCCCCTGAGGCCACTGGTTTTAAAAAGTATGCGTGTAATGCTCCTGCGTCTTCTTCAGGCCCGTGATCTTGGACCCGGCTGACCCCACTGGTGACGTAGGTGGAGGGGACCGATGGTGTTGGCATCTTCTGGCAAAAGAAGCTACTGAATGGCTGTCCTCTTTCTGCTTCAAAGATGGGACTGGATATCCTGTACGATCGTGGAAAGTGCCAGTAAGAATAATCTAAAGGGAGTGTCATCCGGAGGATTACCCTGTGACAAGCTCAAATCAAAGAGCTTCTCCTGCCATAGCAACTTGGAATTCATTCGGCCACAAGTAACAGAGAGCCCAACACAGGAGCTGACACAGTTTGGCTTTTTCCTTCCCGTTACAAGAAATCCTAAGGCAGGGCATCCAGGGCTCATGCAGCAGCCCCACGGTGCTTTCCTACCAGCGGGTCTCCTCCCCATGGCACTGTTGGCATTTAAGGGTCCGACGGTTCTTGGCACTGGGACTTGTCCTGGGCTGTGTCAGGTGCTGAGCAGAATTCCTGATCTCTACCCACTCGAGGCCACAATTAAAAATGTCTCTGGACATTTGCCTCATGCCGTGCGGGGAGCAACATGCCCACCCCCCGGGTGAGAACCCAGCTTTAGAAGCTAACTCTGGAGTTTGCTTCAGTGATCAAGATCCCCACTGCGGCCAGTCCGCAAAAATTGTCCCTGGGCATCCTGACCTTCTCAGATACACTTCCTTCTTTTTTTTTCTGACTCTTTTAACCGATGCTTTTAACTGCTTAGCCTATGTGTTATTCTCGCACGTGTATTTCTTTCTTTCCAGACAGTGCAGACTCCAGGAAGTTGCGGATGTTCTCATTCAGAAGTCATAGGATCCTGGAACCCTAATGCTAGAAGAAACTTCTAGAGGTCATCTGACAGCTGATTTTCAAAGAACCAGTTCGCTGCGTAGAATCGCAATCCCTTGGCAATCTCCACCACTCCGTCTCTCGCTTCTTCGGCTCCTCTTGAAATCAAGACCACTAAGTCCTTCATAGCGTCACCCTGCTGAACTCTTGCTCTGTAAGTGACCTGCTTTAACAAAAATACCTGCTCTCATCCAGCTTCCATATTTCTCTCAGCCATTGTGTTTCATGGGCGCCATATTTCTGTCAACCGTTGTGTGTTTTCCAAGTTGCTCCTTCCTTTTCTTTCAAGCCTTAGCACGGGGATCTCTCCGTGTTCCCAAAAGGAAGCCCTTCACCGGCCGCTCGGTTCCTATAATTCCATGACCTTGCTCTCACGCTCCTCCACATTGCCCGCCTCTTGTCTGTTTCCCTCCACCCCTGCTGCACCTGCTGAATTGAAGGTCTCCCCAGCCAGTGGTGAGCCAATGTCTGTTTTAGCCCTTTAAACCCTCCAAAGGCTTGGATTATAACTGTTGCCTTACATATATAATAGCTTATTGTCTTTTCCTTCTGAGCCTACATTTCCCCCCATCCATGAGTGCCTTCTTGCCAAATCTAAAGGCTTTATGCTCTGGCTTTAGCTTCAGAGATACTTGAATGTCTAAGCGTTCTAACCTCATCCATCCGCTTAAAGTTTTATTACCACCACATATACTAACTGTCATATAATAAGGAATGTATCTAGTCTTTGTCCCCAGATCCTGGCACAGAGCTTCAGAACCCCTTGGAATTATCTGATAGGAGAGTCTTTTCCATTCATAAGGAGCCCCTTCCAACCATCCCTGAGTTTATGCTAACTAGGTTTGGGCCCTTAGGTAACAGCTTCATGGGAAGGACTGGCCATGCCCCAGAAATGCCAGGCATGTGATTAGAGGGTTGCAACCCCCAGCCGCGTCCCCCCCCCCCCACAATCCCAAGAGGAGAGGGGGCTGGAGATTGAGTTCAAGCACACGGCGAACGATTTAATTAATCGTGGCTCTGTAATGAAACTTCCAGTCCAGACTCTGGACAACAAGGCTTGGAAAGCTTCCTGGTTGGTGAACATATCAGGGTGTGGTGACGGTGCCTCCTGACTCCATGGGGAAGGGAGTTTCTGCACTTGGGACCCTTCCAGCCCTCACTTCCTGTGGCTATTCATCTGTATCCTTTATAATAAGTTGGTGATTTAAGTCTGGCGTTCCCCGTGAGTCCTGTGGGTCATTCTAGCAGGTTATTGAACCTACAGGGGGTCATGGGAAAGCCCTGAATTTGTGGCCAAGTCCGACAGGAGTGCGAGTAGTCTGAGGACGCCTCTTGCAGCCGGCATCTGAGGAGGGGGCGGTCTTGCCGGGACCTTGCCCTCTACCCCATGGGGTCTGCACCAGCTCCAGGTGACGTCAGAGTTGGATTGACCTGCAGGACGGTCATGCCAGTGAGCCGGTATTGGGATATATCACCATTCTTGTCCCAGGACAAGGGCAAAGGAACGAGCGATGACCGAGGTTGAAGAAAGAACGACCGCTGAGTTCCCACCTACGCAGTCTACAGCTAGTTACCAGACCCTTCTAGATGCCCAAACTTGCACTGGAGACATAGACAGGAGACCATAAGACCCTGCTGCATCCTCACAGAGCTTACGACGTCACTAGAGGTACATCACCTAAATCCCTCAAATAGAGATGAAGAACCATTGACAACCTCGGGCTAAGCGGTCGGCATGGAGTGGATTAAGGCCTGTAACCATAAGGCAAGCGACTCACAGAGTCCCAAAGGAAGGAACCACCCTGGTCCTTTTCTGCCAATGTCTTCTCGGCATTCAGCAGACATTTAAGTTCATTAAGAGCAAAGAGAGCATTCATTCGTCACCATCAAGAAACCGACGGTCATGGGTCAGCACTGGGAGGAACGAGGGCACCAAGTCTTTTTTCAGAAATTGGCAACTCACGGGGGCGCCTGGGTGGCTCAGTCGGTGAAGCGTCCGACTTCAGCTCAGGTCACGATCTCGCGGTTCGTGAGTTCGAGCCCTGCGTCAGGGGCTCTGGGCTGACGGCTCGGGGCCTGGAACCCGCTTCGGATTCTGTGTCTCCCTCTCTCTCTGCCCCTCCCCCGCTCGTGCTCTGTCTCTCTGTCTCTCTCTCTCTTAAAAAATAAACATTAAAAATTAAAAAAAAAACAAGTGAAAGGGAAATGAGCCAAGAACATAGCAAGAATCCAGTTAGGCACAGTGCAAGGTCAAGATCCCAGGCCCGTCATCCGCTCTCAGTTTCCCTGGCAACGAGGCCCCCCACTTACCCCAAAGGAAGTAAGCGATGTTGACAAGCAGGGCAAACGGCCAAAGGCCCAGGAAGCGTTTGGGAAGAGTGTGAAAGGGAGACCACAAGTCAGGCCACCAATGAGGAGAATTTGCGGATGAAAGGACTGTCTGGGGCCTTGTCTGCCGGAGGGTTTCAGCTGCTCTGAACCGAGCTGCTCTGACCAAGGCTAAGCTTGGTCGGGTCGGAGTAGGTAAAACTTATCACTCTCGTTCTGTTTCTTGATATCAGTGCCCGCGGTGAATCTCATACAAGGAGAAGATGAAGAAAACTTACCGTCTGTCTTTGCTGGGGCTGCCCTGGGGGAGCTGGCCTAGATCCACCCAGAGTGGGGTGTAGACCCGTGAGAGCTAGCCTGGGTCCACCCAGAGTGGGGTGTAGACCCGGAGAGAAGCACTGGGAGCAGAATAGGAGGACTCCAGTAACCCAACCCGGCACGCGTGCCTCGGAGGGAGTTCCTCAGAGATGCGCTGAATCCGAGGCCTCTCTTTCCCTTTCCCTTTCCTGTGGGACCGGGATGGGGCTTCCAGGGGAGAACCTCTCGTGTTCTGAGGGACAAGGCTACAGCTGCCAGAGCAGGAAGTCATGGCCAGGAGGAGGGGAAAGGCTCAGTTGTTGTGAGAGCGTATGCGGGCTGGGGGCGGCGGGGTCAGCCAAGGGGACCCTTCCCCAAGGCCTGGCCACGGCGATGGCCAGAATAATGGGAGAGCCAGCGGGGGCCACTGTGAGCTCTGACAGAGGGAAGAGCAGACCCCACCCAAACCACGGGAGGCCTGGGAAAGCCAGCACGCGTGTGGCAGGCAGAATACGAGCCCCCCAAAGATGTCCGCACCCTCCTTCCTGGAGCCTGTGAATACACAACCTGGCCTGCCAAAAGGGCCCCCGCAGATGTGACTGAGTAAAGGGTCTTGAGAGGAGGAGAGGTTTCTGGGTGCTCAGGTGGGCCCAGTCTCATCACCGGAGCCCCTACAAGCAGAGCCTTGAGGCGCCCGTAGTGTCTGACTCTTGATTTCCGTCCAGGTCATGATCTCACGGTTCGCGGGTTCGAGCCCCGCGTCAGGCTTGCACAGAGAGCACGGAGCCTGCTTGGGATTCTCTCTCCCTGCCCTTCTCCTGCTCATTCTCTCTCTCTCAAAATCAAAAGATAAAAGGCAGAGCACCTTTCCCACCCAAGTTGGAGCGATTCAGCTAAAGCAGCAGCAGCAGGACGGGACGGGAGTGCGCGTGGCCGGTTTGGAGATGCAGAATCATGAGTCCGCGAAGGCGGATGGCCACTAGATGCCGCCAGTGAGCCCCGCGGACAGCCGGCAAGGAACCGGGGACCTCAGTCCCCGTTGCAAGCAGGCAACCTGAGCGCGTCTGGAAGCGGGTTCTCCGGCAGGTAGGGACACGGCCTTAGGAGACCCAGTGCAGAGACCAGCCAGGCCTGCTGGCCTTCTGACCGACAGACGGTGAGATAATGAACTCGCATGGCTTTAAGCCACTGAATCTGCGGGGATTTGTTTTGGTCGAAGCCATCTCAGGTGGCGGACAGGTAAGCAGCCGGGGACCGGGCGCCCTGGGGTCAGCCTGTACCTGCCCAGCCTGCAGCCCCGGAAGGCAGGTCACGTGGGAGAGGCACCCCTCTGGTTTCCTCCTCCGCCCTCCACACCAGATGTGGGGGAGCTCCTGCACCAGGGCGGGGAGGGAGAGTGGCTTGCTATGTGCGCCTCATTTCTTCTTGCTCCCTCCGCTCCCTCCGTTCCCCCTGCGAAAGGAAAATACTGGTTTTCTTAACAGTTGTCTGTGTGATCTCACTTGGAGCGTGTCAACCCACTTGCACGGGGCGGTTTCACACTCCCGGTCAATATCGCAGGCCTGCAGGGTGTGGGACTCGGGCCAGGGGCGGGGGGCGGGGGGCGCCATCCGCCCTGAGCGGCGTCCGCCCCGCTCACACCCTCACCCTCCTTCTCCTTCCTCCCGCGCCTTTTCTTCCGCGGCTCCCGCACCCTTTGCTCTTTGCTGCCATCGTGTGGTGATCGGGAGAATTAACCTCGCGCGGGCGGGAAGCAGGAAAGTCCCAGGAACCGGTTAGGTGTGCTTTACGCCAGTGTAAAGTGCCTGGGGAGGGAGGTTCGTTTTGAACCGCGATCCAGGCAATAAGGCCTCTTTAAACAATCTGTTATTTCCACATCCCGTTCGTTAACTACTCACTAGGAGCAGAGAAGGGAAAGGCGACCAATGGCCCCGAAACAGGGACACTGGACGGACGCTACTGAATTAATCCGCTGAGGTATTTCTGCAATCATTCTGTGCAGTACATTCGAGCGAGAAACACGCCTTTCCCATTGACCTCGAGTGTGACCAACAGGGATGCAAGTCTTTGAGGCTGGTCGGCTTTCCCACTTTTAAGAATTCCCTATTAAAAGGTGAATGCAGGAGATCCTAAAACACTGCTGGAACTGTATTCATGGATTGGGAGGCTGAATGCTGTTCAGATGACAGGGCTGCCTGGGTGGTGCCATCAGTTAAGCATCCGACTCTTGATTTTGGCTCAGGTCAGGATTTCGCAGTTTACGAGTTTGAGCCCGGTGTAGGGGGGCTCTGTGTTGACAGCGTGGAGCCTGCATGGGATTCTCTCCCTCTCTCTCTGCCCCTCCCCCATTCATGCACACACACACACACACACA